TCAAAAGAGTTTGACAGTACTAGTGACTAATTAATGTGGATAAACACATATTGTAAAAAAATATTAAAATGAGCAAAGCAATTACTTATGTCATTACTTTTTATTATATGCAAATTTTAATCAAAAATTTGTAATTTTATTAGCTTTGAAGAATTTTGGAATTTATTTGAAGTACCAAAGTTAAAATTCAAGCGTTTTACTACAATACGATCAACGTCATTGTTTGTCCGTTCGTGAGGAACACTTTACTTACTAATTGAATGAATTTTGAAATAATTTTTATACTTTTAATTTTCTGAACTGCTTATTATTTGACGTTTTCAACAGGTTTGCAGTAATTAATTTGTTTAAATGCTTAATAGTGAATTCATTTAAAAGCTAACAAAATTAAACCGAAATCAGCATTTAGCTTAGCTGTATTTGATTTTCTACGATTGAACTCATTATGGTAATTTGTTTTAAATAAAGTTGTAAATATAAAAATATTAAAAATGTTTTATGCATTCTTAAAGATATAATTGATAAAATCGTTGTTTTTTATGGCAACGAAATTTTGATAAATCTAAACGAAATAATAGAAAGTAATGGATTAAGTTTAGAAGTGAAAAAAAGCTTATTTATGTAAAATGCCTAAAATAGCAACTTAATTGAGAACTTTTGCAACACTGAACTTAAAGGTCAATTTGTCATAAAACGTTTAGACGAGAGTCAGAACTGAAGCTCATTTTAGATAGTAGTCGAAAATGTGCATCTAAGCAGAAATTCGATCAGCTTTTAAAATTTTGGAAATCGAAAAAAAATTACTGAGCACAAATTCTGCAAAAACAAACTAAAAGATAATTATTCTATAAAATATAAGCAATTTGGAATACACATTGAATGCAGTGAAATTCTAGCGTTTTTGTTTTTGTTTCACGTTTTGTAAAAGAAAAAGAATGATAGAAACTCTTTGTGTAGTCAGCAAGAAAATGTTTTCAGCTTACACAAAGTGAAATTTACGTGAAAAAAGATTAGACAAGAAAATTAGGATTGCCCCAGAAATGTGCAAAGATATCATATGTTGAATAAAGAAATATTATACTACGTTTACAGTTATGTCAACTTACTTCTGACGTTAATTACTGACTACATTTTCAAGAAAACAGAATTCACAAAAAATAAATCCATCAGAAAAGTATGTATTTCAGATAAGACAGACGTCCATTTTTTGCAGCAAATCAGCAAAGAACATCAGGTTGAGAGGTGAAAGGTTAAAACAGTTATTAGCTGTTCAACTAAAAATTCTTCCAACTAATCAAACATTCAGAAATTAAATTTACTATCTGAGTCCTATAATTTTCAGTATGAATCATTTCAATTTACTTGTGGCAGAAAATTGAAGAGGCGCTTTAAAACTGAAATAAATGTCATCACATAGTTTCAAATTTCGTTTGATGATGATGAGTTATATAAAATACTTTACATAAATAAAATCAGAGTTGATAAGCAGCTTTCTCGATTTCGAATTTTATGGCAAATAAAGTAAAAATCGTAGTAATTAAATTTACTGTAGCTTTAAAAACGCTACTGGGATTTAAGCAGAATAATTAGTTCTTACAGTACTAGCAACGTTTATCTCATACATAAACATAAAATAGAAAATTGTTTTTAAATAGAAAAATTCAAACAATATTAGAATATTAAAAATTAAAATTAGGTCGTACAATCAACCATCTCATACACACATTCATCGTTATATTTTTGTAAAGCAGAACGGTACATTGAAGTTGAATGCCACATAAATGCTACTAATACATTGAGAAAAAAATCCAAATAACATTAATGCAATTTCAAATTTCTTTGCATTTTTTCAAGTACACTTTGATGACTTCAATTTATAACACTAAAATAGCACTAATTCTTCAATCTTAATAAGTTATCATTTGTTAACTTTTAAATACTTATCACTTATTGAACTTAAATACTGAATAATTCATAGGTTAAATAGATTTTAAATTAAAATTGCTTAAAAAATTTTTTACAAATTGATGATGAACTCAAGAAATGCCCGACACTCCCAATTTCTCAACCTAATTTCGATGTTAACTTTTGTCTTATGTCAGATTTTTTACTAAAATTTTATCACAATTGATGAAAAATTTTTCGTTCATAGCAATTTTGACAAAAACTTAACGAATGATTAAATTGCATTAAAAGCATAAAAATGACATTTATTCACTCTTCATACTTGCAAAAATCCAACAAAAAACGTTGCAAATTCTGAAACGAATTTTAATTGCTTAAAACTGATAAATTATTGCTTACAAAATGTTGAATTGATATTTTTACAATGCAAATTTATCCATTTAATTTGACCTTTTCACTTTTTTTCGGACTAAGCAATAAACTGAATAGTTCCAGGCTGAATGAATTAGGTATATATAAATGTAATTAATAATAAAAAGATAATTTAATAATTTTAAAGTTTTTCATTCAAAAATTGCAATTTAAAATAAGCAATGTGTGATTCTAATTCAAAAATTTCTATCAAAGAATGAATTTGCTAAAATTGAAAAGTTTTTTAATCATTTTTTACTGCAACATACTTTACCTCAGTGATATTCAGAATTTTAAAATCAAAACTATAAAAAAATTGATTAAAAACCTTAATAGTCACTTAATACTTAATACTTAGTTACTTAATAGTTTAGTAATGGAAGGATCAAATTGTCAATTTTCTAAGTAATTTTTCAGCAAAACAAAACATTTATTAATATTTTGGAACGAAAATTTCTTTTATTTACTGAAATTTAAAAGTATAGTAACTTTTTATCGATGTGTAATATTAAATTCAAAAAATATTCATCCTGAGACTCATTGTTAACAATATTAATGTTTAAAGCTAAAACTTTGGTTAGCTACCATCGCAATACAGTAAACTATTTTGACCTGTTGTCATAACCATGTTGACGTAAAACGAAAAACGAAGATTGAATTAGCGATTTGACGTGAAAATCTATAATGTAAAAAAATTACTCACTTACAGGCTATAACAAAAAATAATGCATAAATTAAGAGAATTTATGCAAGAAATGCAAATTCAGTGAGATAATCGACACATATTAACATAACAGTTATTTTAATGCAATGTGTGACGATGAGATTTGCAGTACAAAAATGATTCAGAAGTATTGACTACAGTAATACACGCACGGTATCGTATATTCCGTTTCTATAATTAGTCATTTCAACTCAATGCATTCACTTTTATAGAATATTAAATTTTATAGAATGCACTTCAATTTTTTCAATTCATTCTGGAACTCAGCTAAATTACTCAATGTACTTCTTACTGAATCATAAATTTGAGACAGATTCAACTCCAACTGATGCGCTGATTCTAATGAAATTTTTCCGTCAAATCAGTGACTGCACAAATCGAGATCCTTCCACACAATTATAATCAGTTTTTTTTTTTTAATTTTAACCTTACTACTATTAATTTTAAATATGTTTGCTGTGCAATTCAGTAAAAATTGATGATGACTTTATTATTTACTGCTTAAACTTTTGTTTCAAATAAAAGTAACCAAAAAATATACATATTTCTGAGGTTGAACTCTTAGTAGTCAACAAAGTTAGATCAAAGATAGCCAGAACAAAGTTTATAATTAGATCACAGAAGTTCAAACACGAAAATACCGGAAAATAACGCATTACACTAATTTAAAGCCACAATAAACGAATGTTCCACGAAAACGTGACTTCAATTATTCACTTGAAGAAAAATTCCATTCATTTGGATTTTTTAGGTGAAGATCAACAGAAAAATACCTTCTCAACACATGAAGAAGGATGTGTCAAAGTGTCAAAATTGCCACTACAGGACAAATTTTATAATTTCGAAGACTTTTTTATTCTGTATCAAATTTTCAGTTTTGCCATCTATCACCCGCCTTTATACCAAAACAACAATAATATTATCAATTATAATAAAAACTATTGCAAATAATAATTATACCAAAGATGATATCACTCATAGATGCGATATTCACATGAAAATTGAATTCAATTATAAAATTCTTGTGATGCAGTCACATCTTCATTTTTTTGGAACTTTCTGTGAATCTTTAAAAAAATTTTCAGTCAACGAAAACATGAAATTATTTTGAAAGCTGTACGGTATGACTTCGTTGCTGATAGCATTGCTCTTGCAGTTAATGTAACTAATATGCTAGATTTCTATTTTCTGAACAGAAATGAAATATATTTGCAGCAGGAAATTTAGAAAGCGAAGATAAATTTGCAGTCGAAGGTCGTGAAATTCTGAGAAGAAATATGAGACTACTGAGATACGGTAAGACTTA